AAATTTTTAGAAGCCTTTAAGTGCAGTCAGAAAGTAGTGCTTTAACTTCTGACTAAGCTCAGTTGTGTTGCCTCTGGGACAGCCCATGTATGTAGCTCTGGAATGTTGCTGGGATGTAAGAGCAGTCTGAGAATACCTGTACCACACAAGAGCGAGTGTAAGGCAGACTCCTGCTGTCCTTCAGTGAGAACTGCGTTAAAGCTATTCCTTGCTTAACCACCAAAACTGTACAGACCGCTCATCACACCCCATGCCACCCATTCTTTTTCCAAAGGCAGGGAATTTCCTCTGCAAGTGTAAGCACAGACACTGTCTGCCTGTAATCATAACCCATGAGTTTGTGGGAGTGGGGAATAGTGGTTGTGCATTTTGAGGAGGAAGAGCAGGTGATATTAAGTCCTTCGGAACAGGCAGAAAGTGGTGAGCTGTGTGCAGATACAATCACAAAGAACAGGAAAAGTAAGGAAGAGGAGACGTTCAGTCTTTATAATTTGTGGATAGATCTGTTTGGTTTGGTTTTCCTTGGAACAGGGAAAGACACCTTCAGAAATGGGTGAGATGCTTGAGAGTAGCGAACAACTGAACCTGATGCTGCTCAGCTTCTCCCCTTCTCCAGATACAGAGCAGATATCTATTTTGCCCTCTTCCCATCAAATCTTGAAATATTCACTACAAATCTAATTTTTTACTCACCTCCAACTTATGAACGTTCTTAGTTGATCTAGAGCTTACTTTACTGAACCTGCTCTGTAATGCCACTTATTTCCTCATGTTATTTAGAATCCAATGCAAAAGTCCAGTAACTGAAACTTAACTGCTCACACAGAAAGTGTCAATGCACGGAAAATTGTCTAATGCCAATATTTCACAAAATTTATAGGTGCTCAACTCATTTGAAGGGGAAAGTGTTTCCTCCTTTTCAGACGAGCACATGTGACCCAGAGCTATTCTGCAATTGCACAATGGCTAGTATGAAGTCAAGCCTAAGTTATTATGCGCTTCCTGTCAACCCAGTGCTACTATCCATAACTATCCATATGTCCTGGGGCTTAAAATCTCATCCCAAAATACAGCTTTTCCATCACTGTAGGTGAAAGCCTCTATCAGAAACAATACTCTTGTATTTCTTATGGGTTGATAAAAAGCAGAAATTTCTGGAGTTTCCAGTCCTGCCTCTTTGGTGAAGCAGGACAAACTGACAAGGTAATTCTTTTTCAACTCTTGTTATGCTAATAATTACAATTAATTATATCTTTCAGACCATTTCTATTTCTTTCAGCTCTTTAATTATCTCTCTCTCCTTCATACTATCTAATACGAAATTTTAGATATAGATGCATCTATATATCAGCATCTTTTAACTTCTTCCTTGAAGGTGGAAAACAGTAATATTTCAAAATATGTTTATTTCTAATACAGAGCTGGTTTTGTGCTGTCCTAGTCATACTAAATAAGTCCATTCATGGTACTTAGAGAGTTGCAAGGTAAAGTGATTTGTCAGTATGTATTTGATTTGGGGATTTGTAGAAGGGCTTTGCTGTGCACAGGTGTGTATATGCTGATAGCACTTTACTAAGCAACTATATAGAGCAGCTTGTAATGTCAACATAGGAGAAAGCACATGAGGACAAGTTGAGGGGGCCAAATACATCTGTTCTGTCACTGGTACTTAGAATATCAATTAGAAATACTACAGTTATTGAATAGTTCACAGTTAATAAGGCATCACTTTTATATTGTGCAGTAAAGAGCAAAAATGCTCTTTACTGCACAAAAGAAAAACAAACTTCTGCAAAACAAAAGCCTTATTCAAACTTACCTTCTGCATGTAGTTACTGTTATAGAAGAAATAAGTACTTTTCTTACTTATTAAAAAAATGTATGAAGTAATTTCATTAAAATCTGATTAATTGAAAGACATTTCAATTAATTTCAACTTACAGGACTGGTTTGAGGTTTTTTGTATGATTCAAACAATCTACTGTTTTTGTACCATTAGCAGCATCCCAGATTTGAAATGAAAATGGGACTAAGCACCCTCAGACACTTAATATATAACAGGAAAACACAGTGGTGGGTTTTGGTTTGTTTTTGGTTTGTTTGTTGGGGTGGTTTTTGCTTTAATACAGGCAAAATATCATGTGAACCACTCATTTCCTTGACTGATTTTAGTGATATCTACTAAAAAATACAAATATAATAAAATGGTTTTTTAACATGTTTGAAACCAAAAATCAAAAAATCCAAAAGGTTTTGCCTGAGACCTATGTGGACATTCAATTCTACTGTTTTCAGGCAGACTCTGGACAATTCAGACAAATGCCTAAATCTTAAACTGTCAATGTTATTTATATGACTCAACTGTTCAAATATGGGATAAACAGAATCGATTGCAATCCCCATACACATAATAAACCACACTCTTGTTACATGATATATATTGTTCAAAATCTTTTTCTAATTGAAATTAAGCCCAAGGTTTACCACTTGGAACATTTCCCAACTCTCCATACATTTCGGTTACGGTTTAGCCTCACTTAGGCTAAAGGCTGATTTCTGCTGTTTTGTCACTGATTTCTTTCTCTCATGATGGTTCATCACTTTCAACCTGTCTCTTCTTATTTTGACTGCCATCTGTGCTTTCCACTGGCTGCATAACCTCTAACTATATTTATCATCAGACTCAGAAGGACAGAAAGAGATGATGAGTTGCTTGCTCTGAGGTTACAGTGGAAAAACATTACCCTTCTTGGGATCACATTGTCTTTTTAAAAGTATACTTTAGTATTTCCCCATAATGCTGGGGAGTAGAGAAGTAGTGCAGACACTTTGCTTCCTGGATACCTGTGCAGTGAAATATGCCAGTCTGAACATACCAAAAGACAGAACTGTTTGAAATCTTATTGCTTTCTGTTCCCCTTGAATCATGAAATGTTGTGACGACACTGACCATGCACCATGATCTGGTATAAGTGCCTTGAAGAGTAATTTGGTGAAAGACAGCCTGCAAAGACTGCATGAATTATGGCTCTTACCATTAATGCATCTCTTTGCAAAAAAACTGATGAATCACAGGAGCCAGTCTGAAAAGTTTTAATGCAGTTTTGGTGGTATGAAAGATACATATGAGGTATTACCCAGAATTACTACCTAGGTGGGAGCTTAGATTTCTTGCTTTCTCTATCTTAATCATTTATCTCTATCTTAACCCCTGACTTTCTTCTCCAATCTAAGTCCTTAATCTTCAGATTTCTCTTCTTATTATATTTTTGAATGCATGTTAACAATTTATATAGGTATCTGGAGAAGAGTTGTTTTGTTTTGTTTTGTTTTTCTTTTGGGTAAAATCATTTTGGCAATGCACAAGTGTGCAAGAATAGTATAGAAAATGAAAACACAGTGTGGCAGCAATTTGGAAAATGGACCAGCATGTCTGATTTTAGTGAAGGCAACATTTTAGAGTTTCACCACTGGGGCATGAGATCTACCAGATTTAATTTTGTCTGTTTCTTCTCAGGCTTAGTTTCTTCTTCTTTCTGTCAGTTCAGACACAAAGGTGCAGCACATACTGGCTTTTCTGGTAATTTTGTCTGTAGGAGGATTGTTGTATTTGGTAGTGAATTACTTTCAAGTCTGATTATTTTTATGGCATTGAGATTTATATGGCTAATTTTAAGTCCCCAGCTCAAAAATAGACAGAGCATCTAGTCTATAAAAATTATGAAGTCTTTAATAAGGATTTATAATTATTATGGTAGCTTTTAAACTAATGCATGTCAAGGTAATTCAACTGATTTTAATGGAGTTATTTCAATTTACACCAGTCAGTCATCTGGCCAATTATGTCCTCTTGTGATAAGGACAGAAAACTGAAGAATTTAAATCTATCTTGGCTGTGACAACTGACTCAAACAGTGGGGAAAAAATAACACACACTGAAGTATTCTTGTTCATACACATGTAAAGCTGCTCTTTTTTCCAGATAGCATATTTCTTCCTGTTAGCAAATTTCCATCTTAACAATTATAGGCAGAAACCACTAGGTGCCAGTGTTACCCAGACATCAAGAAAAAGCTTTGTTAGAAATGTTAAAAACAACATGAAAACCAATGCAGATAAACTCTTAAAATGAAAATAAAGCTTATGCATCTTTTCAGCTAAATAAGACTGCATTAAGTGTTTTGAGATGATTACTTTTCTAGCAGTAAAGGCACTAAATTGATATGCATTGACAGAAACCCACATCAAAACAACTTGATTGCAGGATACATTCTGTCAAAACCCCACATAAGTACACAAAAGCTGCTGTGTCATCTTCAAGACCTTATGAATTGCACCTAGGATCATAAGACAGAACCAGAGTCTGCATTTTGCAAAGTATATGCAGCTCAAACATATGGCATGAATAGCAGTTCACTGCTAAGATTGACATTTTACAGAAAAAGCTTGTTTCAGATCAAGGTAGAATTTACATTCCAAGTCCAACCTGAAGTTTGGCTTGACTCATTGGTATCATATCAGAGTTTTCATTTGGGCTTGTCTTTCCTCACTGTCTTGGTCTTCTGAAAGCTTTTCCTGAAAAAAAAAAAAAAGGAAATCTATTTAAGGAGATGGATCAGCTAGAGAGAGCTGATTGCTGTTGCATGGGAGATGCAAATGCAAATCTCTGACTAACCTGCACTCATCTCATTTGCAAGAGATGAATCTCACTCATTTAACTTCAGACATCTACAGTGTAACTGTTTACATCCATGCCAGTCATCCTGGCTTTTTTGATGTAGAGAAGCAGTAATTTCCTGACTATGATTCATCTAGCCTATTTCAAAAAACACCTTAGCATAAGATGAACTGCAAAACCAACTTAAATGATTTATTTGCTCAGGAGATGAGTTTTACACTAAAGACACCTTAAATTTTGTCAGATTAATCTCCAACCAAAATGATTTTGCAATGTCCAATTTTTAGTCAAATCTAATGTTTTGCTTTTGTTCTTTCTACAGCCATTAGACTTTGAAACAAAGAAGGCATACACCTTTAAGGTGGAGGCCTCTAATCTCCATCTTGACCATCGATTTCACTCAGTGGGTCCATTCAAAGATACTGCCACTGTGAAGATAAATGTATTGGACATGGATGAACCTCCAGTGTTCAGCAAGCCCATGTACACGATGGAAGTCTATGAGGATACACCTGTGGGGACCATTATAGGTGCAGTGACAGCACAAGACCTTGATGCTGGCAGCAGCTCAGTTAGGTAAGAGAGCTTTTCCTTCTGCTGTAATTCTCTGAGAACCCAAAGCGCTGCTGACAGACCCATGGCAAAGAAATTAGCATGAAGATATAAAATATACCAAGTCTATATACCAAGAACTGTAACAGATAACTGATGCTCTGAGAAAATATTCGAAGGACATGCTTGTTTGGGTGAATTATCTGGAAAAATACATTAAGAAATACATTAAGTGCTCACAGCTTCTTATCATACTGATCATGTAAGTTACCACACACTGCCATGACTTCCGAGATGGTGTGTTAAGACTAAGGAATAGCATGGTGTCTGGGTGTCACAACTTACTGGTAGAAGTTGTGATATTTGCTATAAATACTCCTCTAGGTTGAACACAGACATGTCAGGAAACTCTCAGGTGTTTAATGTACAATCACATAACTCTGACTGGCTCACAAGTCATAACACACCTCCAGAGAGAGTGAGGTAGCCCAATCCATGATTTTATAGCTAACCTGGTACACACCACTAAAGTAGATTTTTCACACTGTTTTGTTAGCACATGCACAGCCAGCGCTTCTCCAGGAAATGAGTTGGCAGGTAGAAGCTGAGAATGATTCTCAAGGTGGAGCAGGAAGTTGGCTGAGAGCAGACCAGCCCCAACTCTGCAGAATCTTCTCGTCTGATCACACCTTTCCTTTAGCAATGCTCAGAAAGTTTGAGACAAGGTGTGCTTAGGTCTGGTCCTCTACACTGGGTCTTCCACAAAAATATCTCCAGAGTACAGCAGTGAAAAAGAAGGCTTTACATGCTACGTTTGCTTGAGTTAGATCTCAGTGGGTGACAGAGCTTCCCCTTTCACAAGGACCACTTACTCCCTACATCTGGCAAGGAACAAATGCTCTGATAAATAATCATCACATTTGTCTTGGCTGAGGCTGTGGGGACATGATTGCTGACCAACATGGCTGTGTTCAGCACAAGGAAACTACTGCCAGGCAAGCCTCTCATTTATTGTTATAGCTTATTTTCATCAAATAAAAAGGAGAGGGCGATCTGGTATACAAATGTAATACATTGATTTTGACAACCTGTTTACAGCCACATTAGAAAGATTAAAATGAACCAGAGCCATGTGCCGATAATGAAGCTCCTTAAAGCTTAGACGTGCACTAAGATATAGGCAGTTGTTAACACGTACTTCCAGTACCAATTTGTGCTGGGCCTATCTGACTTCAAGAAACATTTTCAGCCCCAGATTTTCATAAGAAATATTGAAGGCATAATCCATGTCATCAATCTTTATTATTAATGTTTATCAGATGGGACCATGACAGAACAGTAAAATGCCACTAGTGTCTACCTAGTGCATGCAAATTCATGTATATTTGATTACAAATGAAATTTGGACTTTTTTAATCCATGTTTGTTAATTATGTGTATTTTGACTCAGTACTTATATTTTCAAAATATACAATAAACGTGCTAGTTGTAATCATATTCAAAAATTTAACATACAACAGTGACTGTTTAGCTCCTACTTTGTCAATTCACTGTTAATTTTTGCTTAAAACTGCTGCTGCTTGTTTTACTTTTTTTTAATAGAAACGTAATATTTTCGTTAAATATAGAAATTTATTTTTTCATGAGTCTGTGACACATTTTTTCTCTGACAAAGGATCAAAACCTTCAGTAACAAAGACTGAAGTCTGAACTTTTTCCCTGGTGGTAGCCTTTGAAAATAGCCCCAGTGAAGTCAATATTCTGTTGAAAAGCATACTCTCTTGCAACCAGATAGAAAGCCTTTAATCACGTTGTTGAGCATTTTTCATATGACAGTGGAATTATTTGGATGTATAAACAGTCTTCAGTAAGAGTTTTTCATTTCACAAACGCTCCTAGGAGACTCAAGTGCTTTTTACTGATTCTGTATTTGCAACTACGCAAGAAAAAAAAAATTGTCTCTCTATCCACATAGTCTCTCTTTATCCATATACTGTGTTCACTGGAATGTTGAATCCTAAGCCATTTTATAATGTCCGTGTCTACATTTTTTAACCCTGAAATCACTACTTGAGTGTGCAAATGCCCATTTACAATTAATATACCTGCATTTTAGTTTCACTTCTTGCTGACCCCTTACACCAATAAACTGCCTAAGTCCTCCAAGAGTCACATTTATGAGTTGATTTGGCTGGTTCATGCTCACATGAAAACATGAACTATGTCTCAGAATGTTCTGGTGCTCTTCAGTGGCGTGACTTTTGGGCACATGTTCATCTACATGACTCATATTCAGAGTCATATTTTCCACCTGTGCAGCAATGTCCTGCCCCAGTACAACAGCCCAGATAGGTTTGCCCCTGTGTTCCCAGCTAATCCTCTTCCATTGCTGCAGCCACCACCACTCCAGGAGTGAGTGTGGAGATAGAATACAAGCCACTTTTCTTATTCAGACATCTCTAGGACTAGTTGGATGGCTTTCACTTCTGCAAATAGACTTGACTCTCCTCCTTCAGTAATCATTGTGTAGAACTCCACACAGCACCTTTCCATGTCCAGTGGTTTCCTACCATGCAGAAATAACCATCAGTAAATAGAGCATGGCCTCTTTTATTTTGGGACAACTTGTTATATGATGGTTCTTTTGGATACTTTGAGCCACCTTCCTCCATATGGTCATTGTGCAAGGGGCATCCTCTGGATCTTTAGGGACTATCTTGGGGGTTTTTTATGATTATTTTGTAATTGTCTGCTTATATGCAGAAACAGCTTCTTGCTTTTTTTCTTTTTTTTTTTAAGTTTTGTTTTGTTTATACCTTGAACTGCTTTGGCTTTTTTTTTTTTATTTCTTTTGACTTTTTTATTTTTCGGCTCATCTGGGGAGCTGGTGGGGAGGCCACCCCAAACTCTAAACCTCAAAGAAGCTGAATCAACATGAGAAAGGACATGAAAACCCACCAACTTCTCCTGCTGCAAGGAAGAGACTAACCTCAGAAAGATTCCCATCTATTCTGCCTGAGTGGCTACACTAACTTCTATTCCTTCCCTTCCCTGAGACAAAGAAGGGAAGCTTCCCTCTTTGCCACAAACTATGCTGTCTGGTGTGGGGTTGGAGTTAAGTTTTTGAAATTTCAATATCTAGCATTTACTCAATCCTTTTCTGTGCCTTCAGGCACCCTTTCATTTTTTTTCTCTGTTAATAGAAAACTGTTGTTTGGGACTTTTTATCACTTTCACCCACTAGGATTCATTTCTCTCATTGGCAAACAGGATTATCAAAGCCATTCTCTTTAGAGGAAATGCTCATTTCATAGTATTTTCTCCTAAAATTTGTCCCTAAACCTAGACAGGGACATTATCACTTTTTACCTTACTATAGACCACTTCCAGACCACTTATAATTCTCTCAAGTACTGGATACCTTCATGTGCAGTGATCCACTTTCCTGGGGAATTCACAAGATCTTCCTTAAATGGATATCATGCCCTCATACTTTAGAGAGGCCATCGCCAGAGACTGCAAATTGCTTTGTCTTTTCCAATTCCTCCTTAAATTTCCCCACCTTTAGGAAGGGATTTTAGCTCTTGTGGCTTCATGGCCTTCTAATTGTTGACTATCAGCCCTGTTATCCCAGCATCACCTGGCTGGTGATTGTAGTCTTTCCACAAGTCTCAAAGTTCTAATGAGGTCAAGGAACTGGTTACTTCAGGTTCCTGTTTGGTATGTCTCACTCCTTCAAATTTCTTTGTTGAAGGACAGCTTTTTCATCTGACCTCTCCTCTCTTGATTTTCTTCCTCCTACTCCTCCTTCTTCCTTCTCTTCCTCCCTTTCCTCCCTTTCTTATCAATGATATGGACTTGTAGCTTGCCTTATCCATTATTTTGTTTTCACTACTGGTGCAAGTACTGTAGTTGCCTTGGTTTGAGTCCCTGCCTCAGCCATAGTGTCCTCAAATGTCATTTGGGTTCCTGCCTCAACTACAGTCCTCTGCAAGGACTGAACAGTGGCTCAGCAGGCACATGTCAGGCCCCAGCACAGGGCAAGAACCTGCTGGCTTTCACTGGGGTGGGCAAGGCACTTTCCATCACTGACGGGTCAGTTTGTCAGGGTTGGTCACGTGTTCAGGTGTAAAGTCAAAGGTAACTGCAGGTAATAACCATCCTAGGAACTTGCCCAAAAATTTCCATGCACCTTGCCACCCAGGAACTGGATGCCTCAGGGTGCATTCCAATATCTCCATACTTAAAGTTTGTTTTCTCTTACACCAGGATGACACCAGATTCCACAAATCCCATAGTGTGCCAATAATATTTGTTAATGCTATTAACAGTACTAAGCAGCTTAAATAAGGATGAGCAATGACCATTGGAGCCTGCATTATAAACCCATTCACATCAGCCTTGGGCAGGGAGAGGGAGTTGTATTTCCTCATCATCCACAGCTGATTGCTCCCCCCGCATAACAAGGCTGCCATGTCAGGGCAAAGCACAGAGCCATTGTTTGTGTTATCATGCTCCCAGCAAACTCAGCAAAACAAAGATATAAGGAGTGCAGCTGACAAACCTTGCATCCCACAAAGGAGCTTGCTACTCAATAACTGCTATTACTATAGCATGCAATATAGATGGATAGATAGATAGACAGATGTATAGACAGACAGTTAGACAGTCAGACAGAGAGAGAGAGAGAGAGAAAGAGAGAGAGAGAGAGAACTGCCTTTGTCTCACTCCATGGGCACTAAAAATGACTGTGGTGTGTTGACCTTGGAGAGATGCCACATTCCCACCAAGCCACCCTACCACTCCCCTTCCCAGCTGGATGGAGGAGAGAAAATAAGATGGAAAAGAGCTTGTTAAGGCAGTTTACCAAGGCATGAATGAAACTTTGTGCAAGCATAAGCAAAGAGAAAAAAAAGGTTTATTTTCTGCTTCCCATCAGCAAAGGATGTTCAGCCACTTCCCAGGAAGCAGGGCTTCAGCACACATATTGGCTTCTCTGGAAGGCAAAAATGGCCCATCTTCCT